TTATTATTTTTTAAATGGAGTCTCACTGTTGTCCAGGCTGAAGGGCAGTGGCACAGTCTCGGCTCACTGCTCACTCCGCCACCTGGTTTCTAGCAAGTCTCCCACCTCAGTTTCCCAAGTAGCTGAACTACAGATGCATGCTGCCACGCCCAGCTAATTTTGTGTATTTTAGTAGAGACGGGGTTTCACCATGTTGCCCAGGCTGGTCTCCAACTCCTGACCTCAGGCAATCCAACTGCCTCGGCCTCCTAAAGTGCTAGGATCACAGGTGTGTACCACCATGCCTGGCCAATTTTTGTATTTTTAGTAGAGATGGGGTTTTACCATGTTTGCCAGGCTGGTCTTGAACGTCTGATGTCAAGTGATTCACCCACCTTAGCCCCCCAAAGTGCTGGGATTATAGGTATGAGCCACCATGCCCAGCAGAGCTTCACAGCAGGGCCAGAGCACACATACAATCCACAAAGGTGATGACAATAGAATCCAAAACAGACACGGTGATTTGGGGTGTTTTCTGAGAAATCTGTATGAAGAAATGCCCAGCCACAAGCCCCACTCAAAGAATTGTTAAAAATGGACAGATGGATAAGATTTCTGCAAATTTCATCTCCATTCCACATTTTAATGCAATATTTCACTTCTCACCTGGGATTTTATTATAATCAGTTAAAAGAGGAAGAGTTTGCTAAGATTCATATTATCTATTTGTGCCCCGGTAGAACCCCTGCCCCAAACAGCTACATAACACGCAAATGCCAACACACCAAACCTCAGCATTAGAGTAATTTCTTAGAGTCATTTTTTGAGTCATCTTCAGTAGAGCACTGTTAAAATGCACCTTGAGATAGGTGAGATCTTGAATCATTATAAAACTGCCAGTTCAGGACAAAATTCTAGGGGAACGGACTAAGAATAAATACGGTGATAGTGCAGAAGAAGCAGGCCTGAGAATGCTGTTATGGCTCAAAAAATAAAATCTCAGTAACATGTAGCCTGAGAACTACCAGTAGCTGCTCAGCATTCTTGAGAGTTTCATAGCGTGAAGACTTCTGGTTTTACTAATAAATCACCCTGAGCCATCACCCGTTTGCCTGCCTCCCTTCTCTGCCTCTTGTCTCTCCTGTTTTTGAGTAATGTGGAGCACAGAGAAGTACAGAACATAATATAAGGATGAATAACACCACCATAAAAAGTTTGTCAAATCTTTACATCTTGCCATGTTTATGTCAGATCAGTGTTTTTTCTTAAAATAAGAAATCATTGGCTGGGCAGGGTGGCTCACGCCTGTAATTCTAGCACTTTGGGAGGCCGAGGTGGGTGGATCATCTGAGGTCAGGAGTTCAAGACCAGCCTGGCCATCATGGTGAAACCTCACCTTAAAAAAAAAATAATGGCCGGGCGCGGTGGCTCAAGCCTGTAATCCCAGCACTTTGGGAGGCCGAGGCAGGTGGATCACGAGGTCAAGAGATCGAGACCATCCTGGTCAACATGGTGAAACCCCGTGTCTACTAAAAATACAAAACATTAGCTGGGCATGGTGGTGCGTGCCTGTAATCCCAGCTACTGAGGAGGTTGAGGCAGGAGAATTGCCTGAACCCAGGAGGCGGAGGTTGCAGTGAGCCGAGATCGCGCCATTGCACTCCAGCCTGGGTAACAAGAGTGAAACTCCGTCTCAAAAAAATAAATAAATAAAATAAAATAAAACAAATTAAAAAATAATAAGAAGAAATCATTATACATAGAGTTGAAGCCTTCCTTCCCCATAAGGATAAGATACTGTCCAGATTTCTGCTTATTATGTCTTTGTGTGTTTTCCTCTTTTTACTTTCTTCGTGTGTACCTGTAAATAACAGATTTTTTTTTTTTTTGAGACACAGCGTTGCTCTGTTGCCAGGCTGGAGTGCAGTGGCTCAATCTTGGCTCACCTCACTGCAACCTCTGCCTCCCGGGTTCAAGCAATTCTCCTGCCTTAGCCTCCCAAGTACCCGGGACTACAAGTATGTGCCACCACACTCTGTTAATTTTTGTATTTTTAGTTGAGACGGGGTTTCACCACGTTGGCCAGGATGATCTCCATCTCTTGACCTCATGATCTGCCCGTCTCAGCCTTCCAAAGTGCTGGGATTACAGGTGTGAGCCCCCACACCCAGCCAAATAACAAAAAATTTTTAGTGTGGCTACACTGTATGTAGCCTTCTGCAATTTGGTTTTTTTGTCATTAGTGACAAGAGTTTCTGAAATGGTGCATGAATGAAGCTCGGTAGAATTCCTCAGAAAACTTAAGTAAAATCTTCCATCTATATATTTAGTAAATTGCATGCTAGGAAATCTTCAGTATTAAAACCACACAAAAAATACTATGCGTCTCTCGGGGAAATTGTGGGACAGTTTCTCCTTGCATGTTGCGGGATACCCAGTATCCTGGCGCCTGCCCACGCATCCTTCAGCATTCTGACAATGCTACGGAAACACCCTACAAAACTCCAGCTGCACCCTGGGAACAATATTGCCTCCTTTGAGGTCCGTGCCTCTGGGTGAAATTGCTGGGTTGAAGCATGAGTTCCCCTTCAAGCCACTTGATGCCACAGAGGTCCTCCAAGTGGCCCTACTGACATACAGATGAGATCCACCCTTGGTGGGTCCAGGGCCAGTTGTGAACATCAGTTCATATTTATAGCATTTATTTGAATTGGATCTTTTGTAAATTGCTTGTTCATATGCTTTGCTCATTTTTTTCTGAGTCTTTCCTTATTGATTGTGTGTGTGTGTGTGTGTGTGTGTGTGTGTGTGTGTGTGTGTCTGTGTATGGGCATGTGTTTGTTTTAGAGACAGTCTCACTCTGTCACCCAGGCCAGAGTGCAGTGCCACGATCATAGCTCAGTGCAGCCCCAAACAACTGGGTGAAGGCATCCTCCTGCCTCAGCCTCCCTTGTATATGGGACTAAAGGCACACACCCACATCCGGCTAGGTTTTAAAAGTTTTTTGTAGAGACCGAGTCTCACTATGTTGTCCACTCTGGTCCCAAGCTCCTGGCCTCAAGGGATCCTCCCACCTTGGCCTCCTAAAGTGCTGGGATTACAGGCATGAGCCACCACGCCTGGCTGTGTCTGTGTTTTAACTTGCGATCTATTCTTCTGCTGCGCACGCGTGCATGTGTGTGTGTGGGTGTGAGTTGGCTGTTTCTTTGCTGTGGGTGTATTAACCTGTTGTCTATTCCTTGTTATGTGGACTCATTTTAGACTTTTTCCCAGCTTGTGGCTACTCCAAACCTGCCCTAATTCAATACAAAGTCACATGAGTGGGCGAGGAGGCCCTTCCAGCCCTTGCCCCTGGAGCTCTGGGTGTGTGTGACAGGCTGGAGAGAGGCACTTTCCCAGGGACCCCCTGACTCCAGCATCATCCTTGTGCTGTTGGGAGCAGAGTGGTCCTGGGGCTTGGGAGAGGCGATCCTGGATAGCGTTTGGGAGACAACACTCGGGGCTCCCCTCCAAACTGAGGCTGTATTGACACCACTGTGTAAGACCCCAAGTTCTGTCCCCTTCCCCACTTCCCTCTCCATGCCCACCCCCAGCTCCAGCCACAGTCGGCACCAGTGGAACTGCTACGGGAGCTTCTCAGCGTCCCAGTGCCTGTCCGCTCTGGGCTCCTCCAGATCATTCTCCACCCACAGCCAGAGCGGCCCCTCTCCCTATAAATGTATTATGAATCATTTTAGGCAGCAAACCTACCTTCCAGTTTAAGAAATAAGACATTACAGGCCAGGCAAGGCGGCTCATGCCTATAATCCCAGCATTTTGGGAGACCAGAGAGGGAAGACTGCTTGAGTCCAGGAGTTTAAGATCAACTTGGGCAACAAAGCAAGATGCCATCTCTACAAAAATTTAAAAAATTAGCTAGGCGTGGTGGCACATACCTGTGATCCCAGTCACTTGGGAGGCTGAGGTGAGAAGATTGCTTGAGCCCAGGAGGTCGAGGCTTCAGTGAGCCAAGATTGCCACTGCACTCTAGCCTGGGCAACAGAGAAAGATCCTGTGTCTACAAGAAAAAAAAAAGATATTACACATAGCAGGGGCTCCTGGGTACTCTAATGTGAATATGCATTTAAAACCTATAATCTGATCCTGCCTAAAATCGCTCAGTGGGTTCCCATGGCCTTTCAAGTGAAGCAGGATCCAGGACAGGCAGGACCCTGAGATGGAGGCCTCCTGAGAAGTTGCACCTGTCCTGGGGTGTGGTCCCAACGCTTCAGCTGAGCTTTCCAGGGCTCAGGGATGTGGTGTCACCCCCTGCCCTGCTGATCCCCACCCCTCTCATCTCATCTCCCCCTCACCCTACCCCACCCCCGCCCCCACTCCCCAGCCTCTCTCGCCAGCGCATCCAGTGTGTGGGGCAGGCGCTGGGCGCTACAGCTGTGGACACCAAGGAGGAGGCGCTCAAAAGATATTTACAAACGGGCTGGGCGCGCTGGCTCACACCTGTAATCCTAGCACTTTGGGAGGCAGAGGCAGGAGGATCGCTTGAGCCCAGGAGTTCGAGACCAGCCTGGGAAACAGGGTGAGACCTTTTTTCTCTCTCTCTCTCTCTTTCTCTCTACACTCTTTTCCTTAAAGATATTTACAAACGAACAAAAACTTGGAAGCACTTTGCATACCAAAGCTCAGGCGTGGGCGAGCCCAGGGGAGATTAGACTCCGTCCGCGGGCCGGGGCCGCCTGGAACAGGGACCCCAGCTCTGCCAGACGCTCCGCTAGCCAAGCGCAGTTCGTGGTCTCCCGGCCCGCGGCTCCCGGCCGGGGCTCCGCGCTTCCGCACCGGGCTGCGGGCTCCTCTCTCCGCCTCCTGCGCCCGGCCAGCTCGGGAGGACACTGACGGGTGCGTGAATGAGTGCATGAACCAGGGAACGGGGGCGCGAAGGCCAGCACCCCCAGGCTGCAGCGCCCACCGAGGGCCCCGGGGAGCTCCGCGGCGGTGCGGGGCGGTTCCAGGAGGCTCCCCCGCTGCTGGGGACCGAGCCCGAGCCCTGGCGTCGCGGCCGCTGGCTGGCAGCGAGGCAGCGGGTGTAAAGAGCCGGGTTAGGAGGAACCCCCGCCTTCCGAGGGAGCCCCCCTGCGAGTGCGCGAGGCCCGGGCCTCTGCAGGGGGCGCCCCGCCCGCGCGGCCCTCTGGCTCCGCCCCGCTGCCCTCCGGCCTCGGGGAGGGGGCTGCGGTGTTCCGGGGTCTTCGGATTCGCTCGGGGAAGGAAAGGCGGGACGTCTGCGGCCCGGAAGCCCGCCCGGGTCTCCCGCCCTGAAAGCCAGCGCGGTTCGGGTAAATGAAAGTGGCTGAAGCCCGACCCCTCGTGGTGGGCACATTCATCACACACCCAGGGTTAGAATTATTATTACCGTTACGTTTGTTTAGAGATGGGATCTCCCTCTGTTGCCCAGGCTGGTGTTGAATTCTGGACGGAAGCGATCCTCCTGCTTCAGCCTCCCGAGTAGCTGGGACTACAGGCGGGCGCCACCACACCTGCTTGGAATTATAATAAATTCGAATTCTCATAGCGCTTACTACAGCCAGCACCAACTAAAGCTTAACATATACGAAGTCATTTCATTCTCTCAGCAGTCCTAGCTGGTGGTACCGTCATTATCCCCATCTTAGAGCTGTGGGAGTGAGGCCCAGGCTGCACGAGTGACTTCCACAAGGTTACAGGGTCACACAGCAAGCAGGCAGTGAAGCTGGGATTTGAACACAGAATCGGAGCCCTTAACCTCTACAGATAATTATAACACACACATTTCCTCACCTTTGTACAGTTTTAAGAGCACACCAGCTTCACCTATTCATGTTCTTATTTTAGATTTCGCTTCACTGCCTTCTTCCTCACCTAAGTCATCAGCACATCCTGATCGCATGACTCAGAGGCTGAAAATACGCCCATCTTTTAAAAGCTACCCCTCAAAGTGCAAATTAAAAGCACAATGAGACATCACGAGTGTTGGTGAGGGTGCCAAGCAAGTGAGACTCTCACTGCTCGGGGTGTGTGAAATGGTACAGTTACTTTAATGTTTTATAAAGTCAAGATATGCTTACCATGTTAACTGATAATTCCACTCTTAGGGTTCACTTAACAGAAATTAAAACATACACCCCCAGGCTTTCACGTGTTATAGCAGCTTCATCCATCACAATAGCAGCCTGGATGCGGACCAGATGTCCACCAACATTTGAATGATAACTACATCGTAGTTCGTCCATACAACTGAATACCACTCAGCAGTAAAAAGGAACAAACTCCCGATACACACAATGGCATGAATGCATCCCAGAAGCATCCACTGAGCCTAGGGAGCCAGGTGCAGATCCCTGCTTGCTGGGCGGCTCTATGTGTATGAGACTCTGGAAAAGATACAGGACCCTTTGGTGACAAACAGCATATCAGTGGCCTCCTGGTCCAAAGCTGGTGGTGGCAGAGATATTATTTTGGAAACTTAAAATGCACTCCTAAGTAATTTATGGCTTAAAGAGGAATCATGAGAGATTTTAGAAAATATTTAGAGTTGAATGATTAAAAAAAGAGCACAGGACAGATGCAGTGGCTAACGCTTGTAATCCCAGCACTTTGGGAGGCCGAGGCAGGAGGATCACTTGAGGTCAGGAGTTCAAGAACAGCCTGGACAACATGGTGAAACCCCGTCTCCATTAAAAAATATAAAAAATTAGCCGAGAGTGGTGGCACACGCCTGTAATCCCAGTTACTAGGGAGGCTGAGGCGGGAGAATAGCTTGAACCCTGGAGGTAGAGGCTACAGTGAGCTGAGATCATACCACTGCACTCTAGCCTGGTCGACAGAGCGAGACTCCATCTCAAAAATAAATAGTCCAGGCGCGGTGGCTCCTGCCTGTAATCCCAGCACTTTGGGAGGCCAATGCAGGTGGATCACCTGAGGTTGGGAGTTCAAGACCAGCCTGACCAATATGGTGAAACCCCGTCTCTACTAAAAATACAAAATTAGCCAGGTGTGGCAGCCACCTGTAATCCCAGCTACTTGGGAGGCTGAGGTAGGGGAACTGCTTGAACCCAGGAGGCAGAGGTTGCGATGAGCCTAGCTCTCACCATTGCACTCCAGACTGGGCGACAAGAGGGAGACTTCATCTCAATAAATAAATAGATAAGTAAGTAAATAAAGTACAAAATTCATGGGTGCAAATAAGAAAGATTCAAAATAAGTATGCTCAGCGTCTAGCGGCTGCCTGCAGTCCTTGGCTCGTGGTGCTTCCTCATCTCCAAAGCCAGCAGCACACCTTCCAGTCTCTCTTAGATTCTCACCCTCTTATGAGGCCCCTGTGATTGCATGGGGCCCAACTGGAAAACCCAGGATAATCTCCCCATCTCAAGATCTTTAGCTTAATCCCATCTGTAAAGCCTCTTCTGCCACGGAAGGCAGCACAGTCCCAGGTTCCAGGGATTAAGATGTGAACATCTTTGGGGGTTGCTATTCTGCTGCCCACAGGGAGCAGGAGTGAAGCATCTGAACCCGGGGTCCCAAGCCAGGACTTTCCTCAGCACCAGCTGGCCCTCAGCAGGAGACTCAGCCGGCGCTCTCCACTGCCAGCCCTGAGCTCGCCTCTGCTTCTGCTCCCTTCCTGCGGTTCTGGAGGGTTCCTGGGCATCAGCTGGAGGGATGGGCAGAGTGGGGGCTGCACACCAGAGCCTGCAGAGTCTCAGGGCCCCATGGACCTGGCTGCCCCGCTCCCCGTCCCTCCTTCCTCAGAGTTCCCTCCCTGCCCCCTTGGAACCAGCCAGGGTGGCACCATAAGAGCGTGGGGTGATGGGGAGCAGGTGCCAACAGGATTTGTGTAGGATGGAGTACACAAGGAGGCCTGGCCTGGTTGTGTGGGAATTATTTTATGGTCCTGAGTGCCATCGATGGGGGTAAGCCTGTCCCTACTCTGGTTAGTTAGGAAAGATGTATGTCGCTAAGGGGAGGCCCTGGCCTCTCGAGGTAGGAAAGAGCCTGCCTGCTCCAGCCCAGGGAGGGAGGCTCTGTGCTGCGTCCCAGCCTCTGTCCCTGTGTGGTCCCAGTGCCGCTGTCCCCTTGGAGCAGGGCTCTCCATCATCCTGATGTGCTGCAAGTCCCTGCTGTGAGGCAGAGGCACCACACGGAGTCACACTCTCCCCGCCTGGGTTCCTGGCCCTGCGTCTCCGTCGCCTGATCTGGGAAAGGTGCCCGTGAAATCCCTCCTCACAGACCCACCATGAGGCTCAACAGCAAGTGGAGACCGTGGCATCAGCTTTTGATCTTTTAATGGATTCTCACTGTTTAGTTAATGTCCACTTTGAAGCTCACAACAAGCCTGCCATGTTGGCGAATTCTGTGCAGTTAACTCATTTCACAGATGAGCAAGCTCCTCCTGGAGGAGCAGAGGGACTGGTCACAGGTGAGTGGGCGTGGAGTGCTCCTGAGAGCCCATGGCGCAGGCCGCCCGGCACTGGCAAACAGGACACCTGGCTGCAGTGGCAGGGACCCCCAGAATTGCCCTGGGCACCCTCTGGCTGGGCTCCTGGGGGGCCTGGAGCAGACTTAGGAGCAGCCATGGCCCTGGGAGACGAGACAGAATGGGAGGGCGGGAGGAGCAGCTTTGTGCCTGCCAGGGCCTGAGGGGACAACGGCACCGACTGTGCCTCTCTTTGCTTTTCCTGATGATGGGGGCAGCTTGGCAGCTGCTGTGTGTCTCCCGCTGTTTGTCGCCTCCCAGCAGTGCCCGCGACGGTGGGAAGTGATGCAGTCACCTGGTTTGATGCTTTGCTCCCTCCCACCCCTTCCCCAGGCAGGAGGTAAGTGCCGGCCTGTGGCTCTTCACTGGGTGGTGGATTCAGGTTCTGCTAGCTTCCTAAAAGAGATGACAGGGACTGTCACTTTCTACTCTCTGGGAAGAGTTTGTTCCTTAAAGATTTTGATAAAACTGGACTTTCAAATGGTCCCAGCCTGATACTCTTCCAGAGTTAGAGTTTTCTGACTTCCGGGTTCCATTTCTGTTACAGCTCTATTTCTAGCCAGCCGTTCTATTTTTTTCTCGAGTCAATATCGGTAACTTATCCCCTTCTAGTCTACCGATTATTCCATCTAGAATGTCAAATGCACTGGCATAAAGACATCCCCGGAGTGAACTGGAGCTGTGCGCACCTGCTCCGTCTGCAGGGATGCCCCCTGGCCTGGCTTTCCCGTCTATGTCATGAACACATAGCAGGTGCCTCAGTCCCCTGGGCATCACTGGGGCCAGTCCCCACCTGACCAGTCGTCTCCTCTCTAAGTGGCCTCCCTCTCTGGTTCCCGGCATCCTCACCTGGGCAGGCAGCTCTAAGGAGAGGCCAGTGCTGCGGGCACTGAAATGTGTGCCCTGCACTGGAGGGGCTGGCACTGTCCACACTCAATGCTGCCTCCTGGGTGTCGGGGACAAGGGGCCGAATAGGATGACAGCTCTCTCCTCAGCCGAGCAGATCCTCCCCTAACACTGCTTCCCACAGCTTCTCCTCAGGTAAGAAGCTTCTGTCACCCGGTGACCCATCCCAGCACCTACCAGCAAACAGGTAGGATGGAATCCCACCTCGGCCCTAGAGGCCAGCGGCAGCCCAGCTGCTGGGATGGATACTCTCCTGGCACCTCTGAGCTATTCCAGGCTGTGTCTCAGGTGCTGCTGCAGGAGCTCCGGTGAGGCTGCTGGATTCAGTTCTGCCTCCCTAGCAGGGTGTGGGCTCAGCCTGTGTGTGTGCACATGAGTGTGTGTGTGTGTGTGTGTGTGCAAGGGCAGGGTGTGGACTTACAATGCAAGAGGCTCCCTGGAGGGCTTGGAGTCCCGCAAGGCCAATGCCCCCCAGGGCACTTGTGTTTACCGGGAGCAGGACCTTCCTCAGGACCGCCCACATGCAGGGCACATGTCCCAAGGGTACATTAGGCCCAGAGGAGACACTGGCATTTCCTGGATTCCAAGCGAGGTCCCCCTCAGGATGTGCTGGACTGGGCATGTATTCCGTGCAGGATGGCTTTCTATATGCACAGTTGGAGTCCCTTGAAATCCGTGCCACCCCACCACTCCACTGGCCCATCTTGGGCACCCAGACCTGGTCAGGGCGATGGACTTACTTGCCAGACCCACTGTCTGGAAGCTGCCACAGGGTTCGGTGGAGTTCCCTGGGAAGCTCCAGGCTCCTGTGTTCTTTGGGGCCTCTGGTCAGCCGTCCCTCTCATGGGGGTGTATGAAGGGTTGGAGAATGCCCCAAAGGGACCCAGCTTAGCTCTGGGCTGCCACCTGATGGCACTGCCAGCCTTGGCCAGTCACAGCAACCAGAGAGGGACTTCAACATTTTTGAGTATGAAAGAAGATACTCCAAGGATCTGGAGGATGAGGGTGGAGTACAGGTCCTGAGACGTGGGCTTCCTGTCTGGGCTTAAGGCAGGACTGACTCCAAGAACGGGGACTGCGCACAGCCAAGCCCTCGTGGACCGACTGAGCAGGGAGCTCCAGGGACTGCGGCAGCTGGCGTCCATGGTGCTCCCCTCGGTGCTCCACTATGGATGCCACAGTCCCCTCAGCTGTGGTCCAAGGCTGCAGCAGCATGTGCCCTCACGTCCGCCCTTCCAGCCTCAGAACTCCAGGGCACACAGCCTCGCTTGCTTCTCGCATTACAGCCCTCCTGGCCAGAGCCTCATTCCTTCAGGATCTCTCAGTCCAGAGCCCTGAGCAAGGGAGCCCCGGACAGTTCACGTGGGGCCAAGTGGGGTCTCAGCCCAGCTCACCCCTGGTCTGACTGCCTGAAGCAGGGGGGGCCACGCAGCACGCAGTCACATGCCAGCCAGGGGTGGGAGACCAAGCACAACATGAAGCCTTGCCCCAATCTTGGCCACTGCGCCTTTGCATCACCATTTGGTCCTGGTGGTGGGTGAGTGGCTCAGGACGAGGCTGAACCCTGGGCTGGTGGCAGAGCAGAGGCAGGAGGAGAGAGGAGCTCCTGTGAGCAGGGATGTGGCTTTCACCGCGGCACCATGTGCAGGATGAAATGAGACATTGGTGGGATTCACATCAAGACAGGGTTTTTTTAATTAAAAAAAAGATTTTTTGAGACAGGGTCTCACTTTGTCACCCAGGCTGGAGTGCAGTGGTGCAATCAAAGCTCACTGCAGCCTCCAACTTCTGGGCTCAAGTGATCCTTCTGCCTCAGTCTCCCAAGTAACTGGGACTATAGGCACATGGTACCATGCCCAGCTAAGTTTCACGTTTTTGCAGAGAGTGAGTCTTGTTATGTTGCCCAGGTTGGTCTCCAACTCTTGGCATCAAGCAATCCTCCTGCCTTGGCCTCTCAAAGTTTTTTGTTTTTAAATTCTATTTGTTTTATTTTTTTGAGACTATCACCCAGGGTAGAGTGCAGTGGCGCAATCTCAGCTCACTGCAACCTCTGCCTCCAGGGTTCAAGCGATTCTCCTGCCTCAGCCTCCTGAGTAACTGGGATTATAGGCTTCAGCCTGGCTAATTTTTTGTAGTTTTAGTAGAGACGGGGTTTCACCATGTTGACCAGGCTGGTATTGAACTCCTGACCTCAAGTGATCCACCTGGCTAGGCCTCCCAAAGTGCTGGGATTACAGGCCTGAGTCACCGCACCCCACCTTGTTTTTGCTTTTTAATTAAGCCCCGACTGTGGCAGGAGTTCCATGCATGGAATGTGGAAGTCATTGGCTTTCACAGGGCCTTCGTCCTCATCTCGGTTCCCGGGCGCTGCTGTAACAACATTCCTGAGGCTAATTCAGAAGGAAAAGAAACTCATTTTCTCACAGTTTTGGAGGCTGGTAAGTCCAGGTCATGGTGCTCGCAGGGGCAGGGGCAGGGGCAGGGGCAGGGGCAGGGCCTGGTGAGGGCCTGTTTCTCCTAGACGGCACAGTCTCCTTCACGCGGCAGAAGAGAGTGGACCCACCCCTTCACGCCCTTTGATAAGGGCCCAGAGCCCATCCGTGCGGCTTCACCCTCAGACTTCCTCCCCCTTGGAAAGGCCGCTCTTCTTCCCCGTATCACATGGGCGATTAAGTTTCAAAATGTACATTTTGGGAGCACGTTCAGACCACAGCACTCCTCAAATCCGAGGATGTGGCAGAAGACAGAGGAGGAGGACTAGGCAGAGCCTGCTTCCTGGGCCTCCAGGGCAGCTCCTGGCACCCGCAGGAAGTCCTACGCGGAGCTGTGGGCCAGCCACCATTAGGTGACAGGTGGCAGGAGAGGGGGCTGGAGCCCTGGAACCCGAAAGCCTACATGCGAGGAAGATGCTGTCCAACCTCCCCTCAAAACCAGGATCGGCAGAAAAATAGAAGAAAGCACCTCATGACAGCAAGGGCAGCCTCACATTCCACGAGGACTCTAATTCTGGGGGTCATGGAGCCTGTACACCGGGCTTGGGGTTCCAAGGACCTGGCTGTCATTGTGCTGCTGGGTGACACAGGCATGAGCCCTGCGCTGTCTCTTGCCGCCTTCCCTGCAGAGCCGTGAAGGAGCAGCGGGCAGAGCTGGTGCCCCACTGTGCCAGCCCCTTCCCTTTCCTGGGAGCCGCGCTTTCCAGTCTCCCTTCACCCTGAACCTGGAAGCCCCGAGGCCCCTGGGAGGGCTCAGTGTTTCTGAAGGCAGATGCTGCATCTTCGTGAGGGGCTCGTGTGTGGCCCCCAGTCCACCAGCACCAGGGTCACCTTGAACTCATTAGAAGGGCAAAGTCTGGGGCTCTACCCCCGCACTGCTAAATCTCAGTCTGCACTAAGCAACGCCGTCCCCTGAGTGGCCGTCTCGGGCTGCTGACGTGTGCATACGTGTGCATATACATGGATCCATGCATGTGTGTGCTCATCAACTGGGACCATGGCCAGCTGTTAGAAAACGTGGGATCTTGTCTTGGTTCCAACATGGACTTTCTGGCGGTTAGTCCGTTTGCATTGCTGTAACGGAATACCTGAGGCTGGGTAATTTATGAAATAGAGAGCTTTATTTGGTTCATGCTTAGTTTGGTTCAGGCTGTACAAGAAGCATGGCGTTGGCATCTGCCTCTGGTGAGAGCCTCAGGAAGCTTCCAGTCATGCAGTAAGATGAAGGGGAGCCAGTGTACCCCACAGCAAGTAGTAGCCAGAGAGGCAGGGGGAGGTCCCCGACTCGTGTTAACAACCAGATCACGAGTGAACTCAGAACGAGAACTCACTCAGGACTGTGAGGAAGGCACCACACCGTCCATGAGGGATCCACCTCCCGACCCAAACACCTTCTGCTAGGCCCCACCTCCAATGCTGGGGATCACATTTCAGCATGAGATTTGGAGGGGAAACACATCCAAACCATATCATTCCTCCCCTGACCCCCCAAATCTCATATATTTTTCACATTACAAACTACAATAATCCCTTGTCTGAAGTCTTGACCTTCTAGCATTAACTTAAAAGTCCAAAGTCGCATCAGAGACTCAAGGCAAATTCCCTCCACCTAAAAGCCTGCAAAATCAAAAACAATTTCCTTCGAAGATACAGTGGTGGCACAGGCATTGGGGAATGAATCCCATTCCAAAAGGGAGCAATTGGCCAAAAGAAACAGGGAACAGGCCCGATGCAGTCTGAAACCCAGCAGGTCAGACACTAAACCTCAACGCTCCAACATCACCTTCCTTGACTCCACGTCCCGCATCCTGGGCACACCGGTGTGAGGGGTGGGCTCCCGAGGCCCTGGGCAGCTCTGCCCCGGTGACTTTGCCAGTTGCACCCCCATGGCTGCTCTCACAGGTTGGACTTGAGTGCCTGTGGCTTCTGTAGGCAAGCTGCTCGTGGCTCTGCCATCCTAAAGTCCAGAGGGTGGGGACCTCATTTCCACAGGCCCGCTGCAGTGCCCCAGTATGGACTCTGTGTGGAGGGTCCGTCTTACGTGTCTCCTCGGCATCGCCCTGGTAGTCTCTGCGGGGACTCTGGGTGGAAATCCAGGCGGACACTTCCAGGCCTCCTTCACTTTTGCATGCTGTGCACCTGCAGACTTAGTACCATGTGGAAACCACCAAGGCTTACAGCTCGTGCCCTCTGAGGTGGGTCCTGAGCTGCAGCTGGGGTGGCAGGGGTGTGGGGAGCACGGTTCTGAGGCTAAGCAGGGCCGCAGTGGCCCTGGGCCTGGTCCACGAAACCTTTCTTTCCTTCTAGGCCTCTGGGCCTGTGATGGGAGACACATCCCGACTTCTGCAGTGGCTTTCAGGCGCTTTCCCGGCGTCTTGGCCATGAGCACTCGGCTCCTCGTTAGTCATGCTAATCTCTCTAGCAAGTGGCTGCTTCAGCTCACCTCAGTTCCTCTCCTGGAAATGCTTTTCCTTCTCTACCACAAGGCTTGGCTGCAAATTTTCCAAATTTTTACACTCTGCTTCCCTTTTAAAAAGAAGTTTAAAGTCATTTCCTTATTCCCATATGTGAGCATAGGCTAGCAGGCGCAACCACATCACATCCTGAATGCTTCACTGCTTAGACATTTCTTCCACCAGACACCCCAGGTCACCACTCTTAAGTTCAAACTTCCACCACTTCCCAGGACTTGGACGCAATGCAGCCAAGTTCTTTGCTAAGGTGTAAAGGGTGACCTTTGCTTCAGTTCCCAGTGAGTTCCTCACTTCCACTGAGACCTCATCAGCCTGGCCTTCACTGTCTGTATTTCTATCAGCATTTTGGTCACAACCAGTTAACAAGTTTCTAAGAAGTTCCAAACTTTCTCCTTGTCTTCCTGTCTTCTTCTGAGACCTTCAAACTCTTCCACATCTCCCTGTCACTTAGCTCCAAAGCCACGTCTGCACTTCAGGTACCTTTATAGCAACACCCTACTCCTCAGTATCAATTTTCTGTGTTAGTTAATGTTGGAAAAGGGTTTATAACATAGAGAAAAATCCACACCGAGACAATGGATGGCTCAGCAAGGCTAGTTTACCTCCTGCAGGAAGGGTGCAACTCGCCAGCAGTCTTGCCAGGAGAGCACACCTGAACAAAGGAGGTAGGGACATTTATAAATTTCATAACCTGATGCAGTCGCCCCACTGTGTGTCCAGTTTCCATTGGCCAGAACGGAACCTCACATTCTATGCTTGACCCCATTGGCTAAAAACTTGGTAATTTCCTGAACAGATAAGGGGAAAGAAGACGAGGAAGAAGAGGAAGCTAGTCAGGAGAAGGTCAGGAGGGTCTCCAAATGAGGAATGGCGTGCACCAAGGTTTGGAGCTTGCCTAGTTCTGTTCAGACGTACCGGAGTGAGTCAAGTTAGCTGATTTAAGACGTAGCTGCTTTAGAGAATATATACACATGGGTATATGTTTATGCTAATAGCAGATAATGGCCATAGAGCAAGAGAGTGTAACTCCTTATAATGTAGTCTGAGATATCAACTTTGAAGAAGAACTTTCCCATCGCTCACAGTCAATTTGCGTTGCTGTAAAGGAATACCTGAGCCTGGGTAATTTATCAAGAAAAGAGGTTTATTTAGCTCACAGTTCTGCAGGCTGTACATGAAGCATAGTGTTAGCATCTGCTTCTGGTGAGGGCCTCAGGAAACTTCCAGTCATGGCAGAAAGTGAAGGGGA